AATGCAAGCGYGGGTAACGAGAACTTTTCCTCGGGCTCTGACCATTTAAAGGCTCRGGTTTTTGCTCCTCACTCAGATTTGCTGAATTTCACTGTCAGCAACCAGAACACCGTGGCCCAGCAGAGCCTCAGAGGGAGCTTTGGTGTTGATTTCAACATTCCCTCCCCACCGTGCAGGGAAAACACCTGGAAGCCAAACGCCAGGACACGCCAAGGCAGGAGGCAGGCACAGGGGAAAAGGTCTGAGCTCCATTTACCTGCGGCTCCCAGCCCATCCAAAAGCCTGGATCCTTGGGGGTGGGATCCCAGTGCCAGGTGTGTGATGTACCTGAACAAACCTCCAACAAGAGGGAATTAATTCCCAGGGGAGCCTGAGAAACCCCCTGGCCTGTTTGGGTGAATTCACCCACCCCAAAATCCTGCTCTCACCCACACCTCGGTGCCCACAGTGCCAAGCTCTGCCTGGGTGGGCTCATTTTGGGTCCTGGTGCTGATGTTCCCTCTCCTCTGACCCCACACAGGGGCAGGATCAGCTCCACACTCTGGCCAGTAGGAATTATGGACCAGATGTGGTCCTACACCGAATTAAATGTCACTAATCTAGCTATAAAACCACCCCAAAAAAGGGATTTATTTCACCGTTGAAAAGTCTTCAAGATCCAGCATTTCTTCACATTTTTAGAAAATGTAAGAGACAAAGTCTTGTTTTGAGAAGGTGGAAGAAAAACCAGAGGAGGCGTACGGATTTCAGATGTGGTTCTGACTAATTGGGAGAAATTAATGGAGAAGTAAAAGAAGAGAAACACCTGCAGTGACAGATCACACTGCTGGAAGGTCACTTGAATGAACAGATGTGAAATTAATGGAGAAGTAAAAGCAGAGAAACACCTGCAGTGACAGATCTCACTGCTGGAAGGTTGCTTGAATGAACAGATGTGACCAGAAAAAACATCCCAGCCCTCACTCCTAGATTTCAATGGGTTCAGGGAATGAGAAGAGAGGTCCTCTCAGGAAAATACTCACAAATTTGGGAAACAGAAAGGAATTGGCAGTGCTGGAATGACAGACTGGACTCAGGGTTTCCTTCAGGACCAGCAGTTTCCCGTAATTTTCTAGGATGCTCTGAGCTCTGCATGTGATTCCCTGAGGAAATCTTCCTGAAATCTCGCAGGGTTGGTTGTGGATGTGCTGTGGGTCCCATTCCTGCCCCACTGCCCCTTCCAGCCACCTCCAGGGAAGGAGCAAATCCTCCCTCAGAACAGCAACCCGGGCTGGGTCAGCCAATGGCCTGCCTTCTGCTGCCCAAACACACCCTCTCTGACCAAAAGGATATGGAATTGGATAATCCCAGAATCCCTGAGGTGGGAGAAGCCCTCCTGGGTCATGGAATCCAACCCGTGCCCGATCCCCACCTTGTTACCAACCCAGAGCACGGAGTGCCACCTCCAAGCCTTCCTTGGGCACTTCCAGGGATGGGCACTGCAAACCTCCCTGGGCAGCCCCTGCCAATCCCTGAGCACCCTTTCCATGGGGAAATTCCTGCTGATGTCCACCCT